CACACCAGGGCTATGATACACATGGGCAGAAGTGTATCTGTAGCTTTTCTATCTTGGACCTTTTTTTTTTTTTTTAGAGGTTTCATTTTCCACCCAGCTTCTCATTTTGCACACTTTGAAATAGAAATGTGGTTTAGATCAGGGTGACTATTCTGTCCATTGCAAGGAGGACTCAAAGGACAGAAGCTGAGCCAGAAGGAAGGTTTGTCCTACTGAGCTAAGGCTTAGGAGTCTGGTTTGGGCAGAGTTGAGTGAGTAAGTCATACTTAGCAAGGAGATGGCAAGTCAGCATCTATGTGCCCTGGAAGGGAATCAGCTATGACGGTCTCTCAGTACTTCTGTATCTATCATGTTCTTGGTGGTGCCTGGTCACTTGAGATGAGCTCTCAAGAGAAAGGAAGGATTTACTGAAGCCTTCTGGGAGCCACACATGGAGCTGAGGGGGGTCAGTGATTGTGTTTGAGTTTTGTAAAGGTTCACAAGAGTTTTGTAAAGTGGGTGCCAAGGCTCAGAAAGAGGAGGCATTTTATCTACTCTCTTCTTGTTGATAGAAGTATAATTCAGGCTACCTCAGTGTTAGGAAGCTAGAAATGTCCCTTTTGTATTGTGCTAGCTTTCTATTGTGGTGACAAATACCCAAGAAAGACAACCTAAAAGGGAGGAATTTATTTTGGCTTTATGGTTTCAGAGACTAAGTCAATGGTTGAGTAGACCCACTGGGTTAAGTCTGAGATGAGGCGTCATATTACAGAGGTATGAGCATGTCACTGAGTCTGCTCATCCCATGGTACTCAGGAAACAGAGAGAATAAAGGACAGAGAGCAAGATACACTGGGCATGACCCTATTGGCCTACGGGCCCCAAGTAAGCCCTACCTCCCACTTTCTACTGCTTCCCAATAATAGTACCATATAATAAATCCATTAAAGGATGAATCCATCATTTCGGCCAAAGGTCTCAGGATGTAGTCATTTACCCATATGCCAGCGGCTGACACCCAAGCCCCCAATACAAGTGCTTGTGAGAGACAGTTCATATCCGAACCATAGCATAGTTATACCTGGAGAGGGGAGGTGGTGAGTGACTTCCTTCTGGAAGCCAGAGGAACACTTTGCAGGTGGTAGCTTACCTCAGTAACTTATACTGGCTAACCCACTTTGCATGTATTGTAAAGATTTGGGCATGGGTGTAAGGATGGGTATTTGTTAGAGAGAACTCTAAATATTTCCTTGCTGGTTGCAAGTAATCTCGATGGTTGGGATCTGATCTGTGTCTTATTCACAGTTACTGGAGGTTTACACTTTGCCTGACAAATACCAGGGGCTCAGTAAGTATAAACTATGGATTTGAACTGTGGAGACCTTAAGATTAAGGTACGAGGACTTTAAAGTCATGGAGGTTACAGTTGCTGACTATATGCAAATTCATGACTCTGGAAAACAGTGAGAAAGGGGAATTGGCTTATTAGCTGGAAAGATTGCCAGTAGCTGTTCTAGGTAGGAGTCCTAAGTTTGTCCTGTGATTCTGGGGAGCTGGGCTCTTTGCTGCTCATTGGCTGAGAGAGGGCTCTTGTTCTTCACCAGTCTGGGTTCATTTGTCAATGGAAAGCCTGGAACTGCATTCTACATTCTTTTTCATGCCACAAGTTTAGGCCCCACCAACAGGTTCCTAGAAGACCAATAAAAGTTATCTCTTTTTCTTTCCTTTGTGTGTGTGTGTGTGTGTATGTTTTAACTGACAGGTAAGAAGTGTTCATATTTGTGGAGAATATGTGACATACTGCTTTGATACATGTACATGCTGCAGAATGGTGGGATCGAGGTACTTGGCAGACAGATCACTTCAGACACTTTTGATTGTGGTGAGGGCATCTTAAATCTACTCTTCCGGCAGTTTCCTAGAGTATAATGCATTGCTTCGGTCATCACTACAGTTTATAGCAGATCTCTTGAACATCTTCCTGTCCTTTGACCTCAGTGCCTCCCATCCTCTCAGCCTTCGTTAACCACCTCACCCCCTAATTCTATAAATTTGGCTTTCCAAATAGTCCACATACAGGAGAGATTGTGAACTATTCACCTTCCTGTGCCTGGCATACTAACCAACATACTGTCCTTCTGGTTCACCCAAGATTTTTCTTAAAATGGACATGGAATTCAGCTGAGGCAGGAGAAATGAGAGGCAGTCCTACCTGAAAGCCATGGATGAACTACATGGCCTTGGCCAGATCTTCACAAGCACAAGGAAGTGGCCCTTACATCTCCTCTCTACCACCACCATTTCTAAGCCCAGGTCTCTCAGAGAGTTAGACTCAGCCTGCCGTCTACAGAAGCAGCCCATCCTAGAGGATGAACTAGGGCCAGGAAACCCCTATTCTTGTGGGCTATGCTCACGTCCCTAGTGTACTGGCCGTTCCCCACCCAGGCTTAATTTGCACTACTAATCTGTTATGAGTTTCTTGGTTATTTAGCACTTTCAGACAGTTATGATTAGATTCTGTTTATTTTTCTAAACCTCACACAAAAAAACCCCATAATACAGCAAGAGGGGGGAGAGAGGAGAGGAGGGGGGAAGGGGAGCCTTTTCTAGAAATATAAATTCAAGACTTACATGCTCTTCCCCATCTGCAGGGCAGCTGTTGTGGAACCCCATCCAACCCCAGAGTTCTAGCATTCCACTTCAAGGCTCTCTTTCTGGCTCCCATCACCCTTTGAGAGGATGTAGCCTTGAGATCAAGGCGTGGAGAGCTGCCAGTTACTGCCGCCTGACACGAAGCCTCATCACCCTGGACCACCTCCACCCTTACCAGGGTCAAGATGTCGGTCAATTTCTTCCTTTTATCTCAGATAATATCATGAGAAGTGAGAGATGGGAAAGAGACTTTTCAAAGTGATTAGGAGAAGCTGGGGGTGGTTCACAGTTAACTAGTCCCTAACTCGATTGTTTGCTAGGTCCTTTGGCCCCTGGGTCCTCGGTAGACTTCTTTTCCTGTAACAGATTGCTGTGTGCCTCTTCGTCTGGTTGTAGATAGAGTGGTGGAAAGATATTGGCGTCAATGAGCATGTCTGCTTGATGACTTAATGGTATCATAGAGAACTGCCCAAAGTTGGAGCAAGACATGTAAGAAAAAGTTAACATCTTAGCTCACTAGTACCCTCATGTCTTTGGAAAGAAAGATGAGTATGGAAGAGGCCTAAAGGACCTAGACCTACAGAAGAAGGTCAGAAAAACAAGGTCAGTTGTTACCCAATCTGAACCTTTAATATTGCAACAGATGGCACAGGAGACTTACGCTGATGGTTACCTCCTAGACATCACAGAATCAAATGAAGAACTATGTTGGCTCTGTGTGTGTGTGTGTGTATGTCATTGTTAATTACATGCATACATATGTGTATGTGGACTTGTATACCTGAGTGCTGGTGTCCATGGAGGCCAGAGGCATCAGATCCCCTGGAGCTGGGGTTACAGTCATTGTGAGCTGCCTGATATAGGTGCTGGCAACTGAACTTGGCCCTCTGTAAGAGCAGTAAGTGCATTTAACTACTGAGCCATCTCTCGAGACCTCTTGATTGTTTAGTTTGTTCTACACATAATGTTACTCTGTTTTGCACTCGCCTTAAATTCATTTCTTGGGTGTTGGTCTGGTGCTGCTATGCACTCAAATGCTAAATTCTGTACCCCAAGATCTTGTTGCTCCAAGATGAGCCAATTCCCATGTACACCAGCTTTTGTGTGCAAACCTCGCTCCCCAATGTAAAACTATTGGTTAAGTAATGTTGGCTGTGGCCAATTACTGAAGGGGATAGAAGTAGGTGGGTTTTCAGTTACCTGGCTGGGGGGCACAGATAGGGACCATGAGGAGAAAAGAGAAGGAAGAAGGAGAGTGAAGGAGGAAGAAGACAGAGGGATCAGGAAGTCTTCATTACATCTGATGGATCAGGAGCACATGCCCAAGTGAAATGGACCCTAAGGACAGGGTGGTGGATCAGAAATAACCCAAGAAGACACAGACAACAAGTATGCGGGGAGCAAAGCTGGGGAAGTAGCCAGTCTAGCCGTTAGGAAATTGGATTAGGGGAAATCCCCCAGTAATTGTGCAGAAGCTAAATAAATAAATCATAATCTGAATCTCATTCATTGGAAGCTAGACAGGAATAGAAATGATTAATTCATTTGCATTCATTAATTTAAGAAAACCCTTGTTTTGGGAACCAAAGAAGAGATCTAAACTTGCCTGGAACTCACTGTCATTTTGGCATTTTCTAGTGGCCTCAAGCTCACGCCTCCACTTAAACTGGAAGGGTGAATGAAGACAGCAAAGCCAGCCCTTGCCCTGAGATGACCCATGAGAAGTTGGGCTTGGGTTTTCACCTGGGTGCCCAAGTCTCACCTAGTAAGAGTGTGTCCCAGTGATCTATAGGTCTGGACAATTTACACAGCCTTTAGCAGAAGTTTTTAGAACTTGTATGATAATCCGGAGTTGAGAAATGAACACAGGTTTTACTCCCTTTATTACAACTTGGGTGTCCCGAATGGGACCCATCAATTCCAAATCCCAGGCTAGGATTTTTCTAACGGAGTGTGTAGTTAGAGGGAAATTTGATCCACATGTATCTGACTCACTGTTCTCTAAATCATTCTGAAGTTTGATTCTGGGAATGAGTTGATATGTACTTTTGTTTTTTTTTCTTCAACATTTGGATGGCTGCATTAGCCAAGTCTCGATAAATAACAACCCTGACAGAGAAAAGGAAGTTTCAAGTAGAGGCATGACCTGCAGGCCCCTCCCTAGGCCTACCTCGGGACAGGAAGCATGCCAGAACCTACAAATGCAAATTTCTCCCTTCCCCAGCTGCTTTTAGTTCTGGGAGGCTGAGCCCTACTGAGGAAAATATCCCTGCCTAGAAGAAGTTGGTGACACCACAGATTTGTGACATCTGGTCTTTGTTGGAGTCTCAAGGAGATACAGTGATTCTAATCTTGTGACTAGTATTTGTCACCCGAAGCTATTCTAGACATCGTGGTTGCTTCACAGGAGCCTCAGTCTTCTTTCTCTCTGCTCTCTCACACGAAACATTTCCAAGATGGTGGCACCCTAATAGTTCTCATTGAAACCTCAGCATCTTAGTATTTTCTCAGGGAGCCAAATCTAAAAAAAAAAAAAAAAAAATGGCATTTCAGGAAGGAGTAACATGTCAGCAAGAGCCTATCTGGGAATCTTGCTGTGCCTTTTTTATTTCTTGTATCATCAGGCTCCATCTCTCCTTAGCATATGCATATATTGACAACTTTTCCGTGCTAAAAAAAAAAAAAAAACCGACACTAAATGTTCCTTCCAGTCCAGCCAGTTTACCTTTGAGCTAAGCTTCTCCAAAAAGTAAACTGCACTTCCTCCTTTCATCTTGTGTTCCTCACAGTGGTTTGGCGTGGGTTGACACCACCCAAAGGTGAAATTATCAGGGAACAAATGTAGTCACCTTTTTAGGTCTTTGTAGTCCCTATCAGTGTTCAACCCTGTTGGCTTCCCTCCCACTCTGACGGGAAACCTTTCTGGATCTTTCTCTGCTACCTTTAGGGATTTTTTGCAGTCTCCTTGTACACTCTCATCTCTGCTAGATTTACACACATTGTTCGGGACTTCTAATAGCTGACCCCGACTTTCCAACACTATTTTCTCTTCTCCCCATGACACACTTCTCCTTTCTGTCTCAGCTACACCCCGAAGTCCATACATTCAGACCTGTACTTCTGGCCAATGTCTCTTCTGACCTCACCCTTTAACAGGACTCACGAGGCAAGATCCATTTTACAGCCTAAATTCACTGATATTAGCATATATACTTTGAAACACTATCTCTGAAGACCTCATCTGAGAGAAGGGCACCAATATTTCCCCAGGCTCTCTCCTTTCCCTCCACTATTCTGTCATATACCAAGCCTTGCTCATGTCATTACTGAAGTGTCTGTCTACTCTGTCCCAGCCCCAACCCGGTCTCCTTCCCCAGGTTCCTGTTTCCTGTCATTGCTCTATTCTCTTGCCTTTTCCCCTTCAGATCCCTTTAACCCTTCTAATCCATTCTACACATAGCAGAGTGATAATTCTCTAACACAAAACTCTCCCTTTGTTCCTTTACTTAAAATTCTTCAGAGGCTTCTCATCACTCACAGGAAAGAGGAAATTTCTTCAAAGCAACAGATAGAAACCTTTCATGACTTGGTCCCCCGCTAGAATCTCTAAGTGTGGTTTTAAAGAGTTACATATTTTTGTTTTACATTTGTTTTTACGTATGATGAGAGTAAAGAGTCCCACAATGCCTACCCACAGGATAGAGAATCAAGGAAGCTAATAACTAGCTACTCAGTCCAAGAAGCTGGAGCCGTAGAACAGTGACTAGTGACACAAGCTGATTGTCCAGAAGGCTTTGGAGAGTCACTGATGTGAGTCTGTGCTCAGACTGAAGGTGCTAGAGTCAATCACCATCGGAGGTGGCTGAGGTGACAGATGCAGCCTCTCAAGAAGATCCGAGCTCGGATATGTTCACAAGCTTTCTTCTGCTAGTTTTCTCAGTCCAGGGACAGCCTATTGGTTGGTACCATCTTCCACATTCAGGATGTGTCTTCTACCTCCGTTGCTGTGCCACGTACCGATGGTTTCTGGAAGCATCTTCAGAGATACATCGAGAAGGATGCTTTGATAAGTTCTTGAGCATCTCTCAAGACAGTCAAGTGGACGATCGGGTTCAGCCATCACCCCCTCAGTTTCTCTCTCCATGCCTCCTGTCTGTGCTTTGGCCACTCTGCAGCTCACCATCCTAGCAGGTCTTCATGGTTCTTCATCCTCATTTTTGTTCCTTCTCCACCTATGCTACCCTTTCTTCACTCGTCTTCCATTCTTCCTCCCAGGCTCAGCTCATACCTTCTCCTGGAGGAAGTTCCTGATTTCTCAAGACAAGCTAGAATAAGCTCTCTTCCACCCCTCCCCCAGTCTCTCCACTGGGCTCCATATTGTGGAAATATCATAATTTTCTATAGCTATTCATTTGAAGCAGGAACCTCTGCCCAACCCTTAAGGTCTAAACTCCTTGAGAGCAGTACTCATATCTTTTCATCTCCAACATAAAGCATAGGGTGTGACCTAGAATAGAAAGTCAATTACTGTATAATTGGTAATAGCGCCTAGCTTTTATTATACACTTTCCATAAGGTTAGGCCAAGTGCTTAGCCCTTAACTAATCTATGATGACATTTCCTTCAGTCAACCACAATTACCCTATTAGCTAAGTGTCATTATCCCTATTTTAAAGATGAGAAAACTGAGGCATAGATAGGATAGGTAATTCTTCACATATTTTTGTCTGTTTGTTTTTGCTTTTGTTTTCTCCCTGAGACGGGGCTTTCTCTTTTATCTGTGCAGCCCTGGCTGTCCTGGAACTTGCTCTGTAGACTGAGTTGAAGGCTGGCCTTCAACTCACAGAGATTTTTCTACCTCTGACTCCTGACTGCCGGGAGTGGTTTTTGTGGCTCAGACAGGCTGTAAACATGGCTCTTAACTCTGAGGATACTTGGCTATCTGCAGTCATTTATACTGATAAGGATTTAGAGTTGGAGTTTTAGGTAGAGGTTGCAGGAACTACCTTATAGGTCGTCTCCACAGCCCGGCCCATACAGTGGTCCCACAGACCTTTACCCATCAACTAGAGGCAGAACTTGGCAAAGTGCCAGTCTTCCCAGTCCATCTGGTCTCCCACCCTTTATTAAATCCTCACTGTGCTGCTAGGGTCCCACGGTGGCTCCTCAGATCCTCCCAGGCTCTGTGGCCTGGTCTCCTGGCTGTGAATTCTGCGTGACTGATTCTTACCCAGGCAGCCTCGTAATCAGCAACACTCACCATGCTTGACTTTCCTACTTGGTTATCCAGCGGTTGATTGAGCCTCCTGCCCCAGGGAGCTGACCCTGGCTACACACTTAGCTTGGAACTGAGTTCTTCTGCGGACCCAGTATCTCAGTATTTTGCTATCTTACCGGGTTTCCATACACCGAGTGCACGCTCTGCTCCCTACTGACACGGACAGCAGCTCGAACGCTGTGCAGCTGGAAGACAGAGAAGTAAAGCAACCTCAGCAAAGGTCTGCAGTGTCGGTTAGGAAGGACACGGAGGTCTAGGCTCATCCCCCATGCCCCCTTCTCTCATCTCACCTTTCACACCCGCTCTGCCCTTGAGTCACGTGCCTAACTTCCCATGTGATGTCCAGCCTGCCCAGAGTGCTTTCTGTGCGGCCACTGTTAGTTTTTATCCTGGCCAAGGTACAATGTAAATAAAAGTGACACTCTGTTGACTAATATGAGAAAGATGGCACTCTGTTTTCGGTCTTGTAATAAAGATCCCCTGTGTTTCACTACAATACTGTCCTTTTTGTCTACACGTTCTGTGCCCAAGGCTTTACCAGTTTAACGTGAAAATTGCATCAGTGCTGAGAGTGAGCATACTTTTTTTGTTTTCTCTCAGCAGTATTTCATAAATGACATCATACAATTATTTATCTAACATTTGCATCTTATTAAGTGATTAGAAGTAATTTAGAAATGATTAAATGTATATAGGAGGATATGCATAGTTTATATGTAAATACCACTCCAAATTAAAAAAAAATGGCTTGTGACTCCTACACATTTTTGATATCTCTTTAGGGCCTGGAACCAATCCCTTATGGGTAGTAAGGGTAGACTATATTTTATATAAATATGTAATTATTAGTAAGTAGGGCTTGGACTGCAGAGATACGGAGAAGCAATATTAATCCAGACAGTAAAACTGTTTTAAATGGAAATGTCGTGGGTTTGCAAATCAGTTTATCATAATATACTCTCTATATACAATCTTGTTTTAACTACAATCTTGTTCTCTCCTACAGCAAAAGGTGTGTGTGCATGTGTGTGTGTATGTGTGTGTGTGTGTGTGTAAAGCATACCATGACAGGACAGCTGACAGGTATGCCAATCACTGGAATGATAGCAATGTCAGAAACATTATATACCACATTTCTCTAATCTTTATAGCAATCAAAAAAAAATGGATGTTTTCTCCACTTTGGAGACAGAAAAAAGCAAATTACCAGTGTCACAGCTAATAACAGAAAATGTGAGCTCTGAAACCAGATCTGCCTGGTTCGGAGGCTTGCACGCAACTCTCTGCCCAGCACTGGCCTGTCCGGTCTGTAAACACTGTAAACATTCCACTGGTCTTCCTCTGTGCTCTGGGCTCTAGCACTGGATTGGCCACCACCCTCCCACCTCAACAACCTACACAACCCTGGGCTCAGCCTCCAGAGCTTCTGGCCTGCCACGACTGCCTTTCTGGCTGCTGCACAGAGCAGGCTCTCAGCAGTGGTATTCCTTCCTACCTGACTTGCTGCTGGGAGCCTACTGGCACTTAGTTGGTGAACTGGATGTCACAAGAAACCACCCCTTTCCAGGGAGAAGACAAAAACAGATCCTGGGAAACTCCCCCTGCCAGTAGGGACTTGTCGAGAATGTCATTCTAGAGCTAAGTAGAAGACCTCACTATCTGACTATCAACTCTCGGGAATCTGCCACTTGCAGTCAATGGTTGCTGAGAGAGAGAGACTCAGCAAATTCAGAGTAGGTGTGGATAGCCCAACAGCCATACACATATACGTAGCACTATTTGGAGCCAGGAAGATATCAATTATCAATGAGAAGAGGAGGGCATGGAATTGGGAAGGTGACTAAGAAGTGTGGAGGAAAGTAATGGTGGGTCATATGGTCAAAACATATTACATGGGGCTGGAGAGATGGCTCAGTGGTTAAGAGCACTGACTGCTCTTCCAGAGACCCTGAGTTCAATTCCCAGCAACCACAGGATGACTCGCAACCATCTATACTGGGATCTGATCCGGTCTTCTGGTGCGACTGAAAAAAAGTGACCGTGTACTCATATACATGAAATAAATAAATCTTTAAAAACAAACCCATATTATATGAAAGTGTGGGATTGTCAAAGAGCAGGTAAAAATATCCAGGTAAAAAAGGATCCGATTTTGTTTTTTATTTGTGTGGATATGCGTGTGTCTGTGTGAGTTTCTATACAGCGCATGCATGCAGGTGCTGGAGTATGTCGGGTCCCTTGGAACTAGACTTATGGGAGGTTATAAGCTACCCAATGTGAGAGCTAAGAACCAATCCTGAGTCCTCTGCAAGAGCAATTAGGTGCTCTCAACTACTGAGCCATCTTTTTTCGGTCTTGAAAAAAAACATGTTATTTAAAGAAAAAAATGTGTCTTCCACCTTGATGAAACATCTCCCCTTTCACTGGTCCCAACCACAAAGAGACACAGCTAGAGAAAATGTTCCCAAGACCAGTGTCGGAGAAGCCTGTTTGTAAAGTGGGAAGGTTTTAAATTCCCTGTAAAGTTTGTCCTTTAGGTTTTGGGAGAGCCACATTTCTCCCAGGGTTTCTACTGTTTGACCCAGTTACATATCATCTCAAACTTCCATAATTATGTGATGTTTTAAATGTCTAGTGTCTCATTTTGGTTGTCCCTTCCAAATGAATGAATGGTTCTTTGGAGAGAGCATCATTCTGCAGGCCTATGGGCTGCTAGAACAAGCTTAGGTCTGAGGCCTGACTCTGCACCGGAGGTACCAGGTTGTCACAACACTCTGAAAGAAGTGGACAGTCTCTGATACAGCTTGGAGTCTAGCCTGTTTGAGGCTGGGGCCGGGGGGGGGGAGGAGCAGGGGATACAGGGCTCTGTGGAGGGCAGGGAGCAGTCTCCGCTTCCAGCTGAGAACATGAGCAAGTGTGTTTTAGTGTGTGTGAGTAAGCGTGCAGGGGCACTGTTTATTTATTCTGGGAGAGGTTGCTAAGTTGGAGGTGTTTGCCAACAGCGCACAGCCTGAGTGTGTTTGTTTACTTAGAGGAGTACAGAGAAGGACTTAGGGAGAGGCAAGTATAGGCTATGGCTGTCTTGGGGACCACGTGTATGAGAGTTGCTGAGGGCACTCTCAATGTTTGGTCCTGAAGATCTACAGAGCCCCTGTTGGGATGCAGTCTCTGGTTCCCTTTTAAACTTTGCTATTACTGAGATTCCTCACCCATGGAGGATGGAAATGCTTAGACTCCGCAGGTGGCTGCCCTGTCCTCTCTCCGGGAGGACTGTCTGGCTGCTGTGTTTCTCTGGTTTCCACTCACTCCCCATCAACAAGTTACTCAGCCTCACTCTACTTCCTGTTCCCTAACTACAGACTGAGGTTGCTTTAATGTTTCCTTGGCTACACAGTTTCAAGACAACTCAGAGAGAGTAGACTGTGGTTCACTGGGAGACCTTTGCCCGCTGCCTGAGATCCTAGGTTTAACCTTCAGTACTGGAGGAAGGAAGGGGGGAAAAAAAGAATGTCTGGAGCTAGCTATCAGCTTCTTTGCACCCCAATGGGACCTGTCAGCACAGATCCAGCTGTCATCCCAGTCTCCTTCCAGTCCAGGCCCCAAAGCACTTCCGCCCCTTGGCTCAGACTCAGCCTTTCTAATTGGTGATCTGGTTTTGTTTTCGTAAGTGAAGCCACTGTCTCTGTAATGGCTCTCTCAGGTTATAGATCAACTGTATATATAGTCCCTGTCTCCAGGTAAGTCTCTCCTAAGTCTTTATCTAGTTTCAGCCACAGGCCCAGGGCTGGGACAAGTTGAGTTTCAAAGTCAGTCCCTCTCAGCTGGGTGGCCCAGGGACTCCGCAAAGGTCTCTCCCTCCCTCCCCCTTCCCTAAGGCCCCAGCAACCCGCCTGCAAGTCTCTGAGGGAGCACTGGCTCCCAGACACAGGCTGGCAGGCAGCCAAGGGTGGTGTTCTGGCTCCAGTACCAGCCAGATGGGGTGGCAGGAGGGCTCTGTTAATCCCCCAGGAGAAAGCTCCTTGGCACACAGAAAAAAAAAAATAAGGCTGCCAGCACTGTGCCCCAACCCTACATCCATGGAACGACATACCCCAAAGTCTTCCAGGCAAGCTTTTTGCCTCTGCCTTCTGACTTTACTGTTCAGGGAGCATGGACTAGGGTCCCAGCTGGGCACACAGAGGTAGGGAAGGGAGACTGAGTTCTTAAGAACTCAGGTTAAGAGTCTTATGTTAGCTGTTGTCTTTTCTTGTTCCTCTCAGAACTAGATAATTATGAAGTCAGGGAGATCAACACTTCGACCCCCTACAGGCTAGAGACTTTTGGGGAAAGAACTGGGGTTGCTGGGCTCAAGGCTCCTAACTCCTCCTTCTCTCACCCCCTCAGGCCATCATCTATCTGCCCATGAGGGACACATGTGTGCACACACATCTACACAGCCAGCCTCCTGCCGCCGAGGCTGCATCGTTTGGTGCCTTATAGAAGTAGATGGAATGCTGGAAAAATCACCCCAAGGCCAAAGAGGATCTGTGGAAAAACTGGAGAGGAGAGTGAAAGCAGATCTAGAGAAGGCAGCCAGCTAGGGAGGTGGTGCTCCACTCCGCCCTGCAGACCTCCCGCTGTCCTCCTTGGAGCCAGGGATAGCTGAGGGGCTCAGGCCCAGCTTTGGCCTGTGTTCTCCTCTGCATGCCTCCCTGGCGTGTCACTTGCAAGGGGCTGCCAGATCCTACTTCTCTAGGGGTCTTACTCTAGTTCCAGGTCTGGTAAATATGATTCCTGACCCCAAGCCAATCCCTCCCCGTGTTTGGCTGTTACCAGTGTGAGAAGCATCAAAGATTGAGCCCTTTATTTTTCTTTCTTTCTTTCTTTCTTTCTTTCTTTCTTTCTTTCTTTCTTT